TCCAGGTAATGAAGGACTCTGCTCCGGAGCTGAACGTGAGCAGCTCGGAAGCTGAAGAGGAAAGGGAGGAAAACAAGCCAGAGGGGGAGCAAGACCCCGATTTTAACCAGGTAGAGATGAAAAGTCCCATCAGGTTCCTTGATGTTTTTATCWTCCTTTTGAGTCAGCATTATGGGGTCACCACCCTCCTGCTCTGCATCTCACTGGCAGTGGAAGAGTGTCTTAAATGGTCATTTGAATGTTCAAACCACACCATGCTGGGTTTCAGGGAGATTAAATATGGATAGGGATTCATGTGCATGTGAAAATCTGCCCCACGCTGGCATTAGGACCAAGAACTGAGGTTTGAAGGCAAATCTTTGTTCGTCTCCACACTTGCATGCTTCGGTTGGCTTTCTAAGGGGTTTTCCATTGCTTCCTGCCTTCCCTCGCATGACCAAAGTGCCCAAAACACTCTCTGGGATCTGGGAAAGTTGTTTTTATCCCTAAACAACTTGATCTCCTCRTTTTTGCCTCGTCTCCAGGCCAACGGTGGCACGAAACGCCAGAAGCTCTCCCACCAGAGCTACATCACTTACCAAAAACAGGGAATCAGGAGAAGCACACGGCACCGGAAGGTCCGGGGGGAGAAAGCACTGCTTGTGTCAGCCAACCAGACCCTGAAAGAGCTGAAAATCCAGGTGAGGCCAGTTCCGCTTCCAGGAATGAGGGAGAAAACATAAAATGGGYGTGGGGGGTGCAGGGGAAGGGTCTGACAGCCCCAGGAGGTGGGGATGGGTGCTGGAGTGGGAAGTGCTGTGATTCCCAGGATGGGGTGTCCGTGTGTCTCCAGATCATGCACGCCTTCTCCGTGGCCCCCTTCGACCAGAACCTGTCCCTGGATGGGAAGATCCTGAGCGATGACACAGCCACGCTGGGCAGCCTGGGAGTCATCCCCGAGTCTGTGATCCTGCTCAAGGTAATGGCAGGGTGGCATTTGGGAATGCCATGGGATCAGGGAGAGTGAAGAGAAGCGTATGGGAGTGTGTGGAAATAGGGATCAATGAAATGAGCTCCTCAYGGAGCTCCTTCTCGGAGGAGAAATATCCTTAATTTTATTTGTTTTGGAGGAGGTAATCCCTTTTATTTTTGTTTTGGAGGATAAACTCCCCTATTTTTTAATTTCTAAGAGCCCTTTGTAGCTGATTTGGCTGCTGAGGTSTGTGGGTACCAACCCAAAACACGACTAAATTAGGGAGTGAGTCCTCCTATCAAGTTTCTGGTGTTTGGGAAAGGGACCTATTCATTCCCTATTCCTCTCCTGAGCTGGACCCTGATCCCATGGATCCATGCACTCATTCATTTCCTGCTCCCATGTCATTTCCAGGCAGATGAGCCCATTGCAGATTACGCAGCCATGGACGATGTTATGCAAGGTGAGAGAGATGGGGAAGGGCTGGGCTTGGGTTGGTGGCCAAGGATTARGGATGGGAAAGTGGAAAATGGGGATTGTGACGTTTCCCAGTCACTGGCTGYGGGATACTCAGAGTGACTTCTAATGCCTTCCTTCCTTTTCCATCCCAGTTTGTATGCCTGAAGAAGGATTTAAAGGTGAGTCCAGGTGTTTTTCCCACTTTGTACCCCCCAGCATGAATCCCACTCCTATCCCATTTTCCTGCTCATCTCCTGGTGGTGTCTTTCTTCCCCAGGGACTGGTTTACTTGGCCACTGATGGTTTTCCAAGAGGAGCAACCAGAAGGGAAGAGGATTTGTCACATGGTAGGGCATTAAAGAATAAAAACAGGTGGATATGGGACTTTATTGACTCTTCCAGAAGGCAAAAATCCATCGTGAGATGTTTGCTCCCCAAAAAACAAAACAAATGCCTTATTGTCAAAGCAGATTGCACTGAAGGACATCCTGCTTCAGGACAATGTTCCCAGGCTTATTTAATAAAGAACAGGAAGGTTGGGAAGCTGAGCAGCAGTAGGTGTGTTTGGACAAGAGGGTGGCCCTGGCCCAGCTGCAGAGGGGTCGTGATCCAGTAGATCCGAACCATCTCGGTCATTCTSCAGTAACTGTAGGATATTCCCATCTTTGATCCACTCTCCTGCTTTCAGTCCAGCATGGAAGYACAGAAATTGTGACCTAATGAGGAATGTGTAGCGATTTCAGACAACCAAACTTCATTTATTTAACCCAAACTGGAAGCTGGGATCTGCTTTCCAAACCCCCCCAGGGGCCAGGAGCCACCCGCTGTCTGCACCCCTCTGCCATCACTTTGACACCTTGGATGATCCAAACACCACCTGGACTCTGGGAGCTGAGGGKTTTTTTTAGGAATTTGGGATATTTTAATGATTCTGAAGAGCATTTTCCTCCAGTCTGGCACTGCCAGGAGCATTCCTGACTCGAGGCAGCCAGAACTGGCAAGAGGGTGYCGTATTTCTCATGGGTTTTCTTTCCCCTCTCCTCATTTTTCAGCAATGTGGTTTTTTTTTTTTCTTTTTTATTTGCTGTTTGGTTTGGTTTTTTTACATCTCCCAGCAAAGTTTTATCTCCCATAATATTTAGCAGGAAATAGTATCCCACTTCCAGGTTGATCCACATCAGGCACTGCCAGGGATCTCTTTAATAAATTTCCAATTTCCTCTTCTTTTCCAGCCTTTTCCCTTGTTTCCGCAGAAAAATGCAATGCGGAGATCACACCAGTTTTATTTTTTCAAGGTTTGCAGGAGTTTGGGGTGTAAGATGAGGGTGAGGGCCGCAAATTCCATCCTCAAAACTCCACCCACAAGTTTTGATTCCCAATGTTTTATTTCCAATATTTTATGCAAAAAATTCCAGCTGCTCTTTGTTCAGCCCACCCCCCACCCTGCTGGGTTTGGGGGTGAAACAGCAGAATTTGAAGGGCTCTGAAGTTCCTAAAAAGTGGTTTTTTGGAGGCTGTTTGAACTGGTGGGTTCTTTCCCAAGGTATAGACAAGATTAAGTCCATGCGCTGATGCCACAGGTTTTTYTTCCCAGCCTGAAGCACTCGCTTGTGTACATATTCCTTGGAAATTCCATCTTTTCAACTTGCTGTTAATTTTTTTATGTTATATATATATAAAAAYCTCTTTGAGTTTATACTGTTGTGGGAAGGAATTCCGTGGGGCCGTTGGGGTGTTCCAGGGCTGTGGCAGATCCGGCAGCGCCGGATCCTGTGGAGGATGCAGGTACAAGGTGTGAGCCAAGGCCCCGTTCCTGTTTCGTCTGTTATTTGCAAATATTGGATTAAAGTTGTCATTGGAGCTGTGGCAGCCTCCTTACAGCGCGGACACGTGGCCCAAGGGTGTTGGAGCAAAGTGGGGGTTGGTTATCCCATAAATTCCACTTGGAGCTCTCCCAAAAAGGAATCTGGGCACTGTGGGGTGGGATGGAGCAAGAGAGACCCTGCTGGAGCAGGATTCCCCCTCAGCACAGGGAATAGGTTTTATGGAGCTTGGGCGCTGCATTTGGTGGCCCTGGCCCTGTCACATCCACCCTGGTGTCACATCCCCACCCTGGTGTCACATCCCCACCCTGGTGTCACATCCCCACCCTGGTGTCACATCCCCACACTGGTGTGTGCCCGGGGAGCTTCCCTGCCCCTCCCTGGTGCCGGTGCCAGCCCCTCCTGGGATCCCCCCAGCCAGGATGTCCCCTGGGCCTTTGTGGGAGGGAAATGAGTGCTGCAGGTGGGGGCAAGAGAGAGGCTTTGGGTTTCTGGGTGCCTCCTGGCTGCCAGGGAGGGATAGGGGGTGTCCTGGGTGCCAGGGATGGGCATTAGGAATGGGAGGGGGTAGGAATGGGTGGGGTGCTTGGGAGCTGTAGGGGTGGGGGTCCCGGCTATGGATGGGGGCTGCCCTGGGTGTGAGAGAGGGAAGGTTAAGGATGAGGGTACTCTGGGTACCAGGAATGGGGAATTATACATGAAGGGGTTCCCGGAGGTACCAGGGAT